CTATGCCGCGTCCGACGTTGCTGGAAGAGGCCATGAGTGTTGAGTTTTTCAAAGAAGAAGAAAGGGGTATGAAAGTTTTGGAGGGAGGCCTTTTGAAGCTTTCCCACAGACGGCGCCAATTGATGATGCACAATCCGGCCGATCTTAGCTGTCAAAGATCTTGCCTCTGAACTGAGTGGCAGGGACCTGAAACGGAAGGAGAAGAGAAGCTCCGGGGAGAACCCGGCGTAAGGGCTCCGAAGCTCAAGTTAGAATCTTTCAAAGGAAAGATAGACCAGATAGCGCAAAGTTAGCATACCTCGTTCTTGGGGGGTAGGAGCCTTTTATAACCACCTTGCACTCACTTCCAGGCTTCCGTCAAATTGGGCATGATTATTTCTGAGCTCCTGCCAGTTCGGATGTCATTTCCTCTAGCCGGACAGAACCGTCACTGCTCCTTTTGTCGGAGTCGTCTCTGCGGCTAGTAACAACGGTGGCAAGTGGCGGTAGCAGGAGGCCGTTTGATGTGCGGCTGTCAGGCGTCAGATCCCAAATCAGTCAGGTGCGTCGCCCTTGGATACGGACGTCCTTGGTGTCAGGTACGCTTGGTCAGCCTGGTGTTTCGGAAGCGAAGTGCTGGAGTGGCGAGCGAGATGTCTTGAGTTCGGTTTGGGGAGTGTTCCGAGCTGCCATGGGCCAGCTCGGGTTACAGCTTTGTGAGGCTTGGGACCCGAGATAGTTCGTGCTCCTTGTAGGGAGCTCGGGTTCTCAGTAGGGAGCTCGGACTCCCAGTAGGGAGCTTGGACTCCTAGTAGGGAGCTCGGACTCTTGGTAGGGAGCTCGGGCTCCTATTAGAGCGGTCTAGTGGAGTTTGGGCTCAGTAGTGAGCTTGGACCGTTACTTTCGGTGCTCGTTTTGGGCGCTCTGCTGTCCCGAGTTGCTTGCTTTTTCCACGTATCAGGTGATTGCGAGGTCGGGCCAAATTCCCCTTCATCACTAAGGGTTAAGATTGACTTTTGCCAATTCGTCTGACCTGAACCCGATTTTACCATTACTGTTATACATATGTATTATTAGCCATATCCATTTCATAATTCCTAACTTTAATGATAAATTGTCAGTAGCGATCTTCATTTCCATAATTTTATGTTTTACTATTATTAATTTCATGATTTTAGACTTTTAAATAATATATCCATTAATAATTCATAATAGATTCTAGTCATTTAAATATTGAAAATATTCGTTTTTGCACCAAAACAATAAATGAAAGTATTAAACATGTAAATATTAATAAAAATATGGCCATAAAAGTTCAGTTTAGGTTTCTTAATCAATGATTAAGAGAATTTAAGAGATTTTATCAGATTTTTAGAGGATAGGACAGATCTGGTTGAGCCCAGCCCAACCCAAAGTTAACTTTGGTTAGATTAGGATTAGGGTTGAAGGTTCAAAATCTGAGGCTGGGTAAGGATTGACCTCAATCTGATTTAACCTTGCTCAACTTGCATCCCTGCTACAACAGACTTTATCAACTTGAAGAATAACTAACAATTTCAATTTACTTTTGGTTGTCTTTTTTCAATGATAGAGAATCACTATTAATTTATTGCTTTGGTATGTGATAAGGACAGCTATATCATGAGATTTTGATTGGTCAAAGATTTTCTGATATTATGTCTTTTCAGTATCATAGATCTTTCCTAATAACTAATATCTTTATAAAAAACAACTGTTTTGTTGGATAAGGTATTAAAAAGCTTTGGTTGAATTTACTTGATTTAAGCTTTTTAAAAGATTTCTCTATTCATTTGCATATGACTAGCACCAAGGTTTAAAGTATCGATATGTCTGATATATCAGTATGGGCGAATCGGTACAGCTTTTGATGTTTTTTGTTTTTTTATTTTTTTTTTGCAACCAGCTCAGGGGGACCAGTTTAGGGCTCCTCCACCCCCTGAACCAGTCAGACCCCCAATACACCCACTGTAGGAGTGTATCGGAGGGGTCTTGGAATGATACATATTGACTGATACGGACTGATACACATCGATACTTTAAACCTTGATTAGCACCAAGGAACCTTGAATTTTCTGATCTCATGCGTCCTGTTCAACTGTGTTTGTTCTATAATCCACAACGGTGATGGATTAATGTTTCTGAATTTTTGAAGTATCCTATAACAGTATATAAATAATTTTTCTTGTCACACCATATAATCAAAATTGAGCGAATCGTCTTTAAGAAGAATTCGGTTTCGTTCATTGCAAAGTCTGTTCGAACAGCCTTACATTGAGAATATCTTTGTATTTGGATGCTAAGATATTCTTTAGAAGAGATTGTTGCCTTGTTAGAACGGTGTGAGCATGGGCTTACACTGACCGAAGTCGAACTCCTTTTAAGAGCCGTGGGTTTCTGGCTTGCAGCTGCTATCACCTTGTCGGTCACAAGTGGATAACAAATTCGCGTGGTGTGATTGGATGTATAGCTTTTACGTACAGCTAGTTTTCACGGCTGCACTACAGTATAACATGCATGAACCTCAGTTGAAAAACTTGGGGTAAAAATCCCAAATTGTTCAAATCGGTTAGATGAATCTTCAATTGTGCATCTAGAGGCCAAAATGGTGAACACGGATAGCATTCAACAGCACATTAAAAAACTAACATCCAATTCCTTTCTATATCATAAATAACAATAGTTTTTATTTCTACGCTTATTTTTATTTTATATGATGAAGAAGTAGTAACGTAGACAGCTTCCTTTCTTGGTCTGTTGTAACAATACTGGATAAGACACTTACCACCTCTTGATGGGATGATAATGTCATAATAATAGGAATCACTGAATTGCTAGGACATCTCACAAGAAAGAGAAACTGGAAAGAGCTCACGGTCACAAGCTCACAGCTAACTTCGGAAATTTCGGGGAAGAAAAAACAAAAAAAGGATTCATGACCCCACTCCCCGCTGCTTATTTCCTCCAAGATCTATAATTAATGATAAGATGATCATAACCATCTGGTCCAATCTATTAAATTCTCTTCAAGGCTATGGCTATTGGCTGGTGGTCCATTCTGGTTAGTGTCATATCCATTTTTTACTACAGCTCAGTTTGGAAAGAGTACAAATACAAATATGTACACTAAAAATACATACAAATAATTGTAATTTACTGCATGGCTTATGGTACCATATATTAGTTTTTAATTTTACAGAATAATTAAATTTTATGTAAATATACACGGTAAAGAAAAAAAAAAAAAAAAAAAACCTTGCCTGTCATGTAAAATGGGTTGTACTATGAATAAATATGAATGATGAGTGTCTCATTAAAAATCATGGTAAAGGTTGCAAACCATTAATGAGATTGGTGCTTTTGTGCTCGGCCGTGAGATACTGACGTATCGTCTTTTTTAGAACCTTCAGGTTTCCGGGCCCAAATTGGTGCTTGATCAGGTCCATATCGATAATCATAGAAAAGTTCTTCACTAGCCTCAATATGCTCCTTAGCATAAATGCCAACTCGATGATCTCCAGCTACCAGCATTACCTGTACAGACAAATATGCACCCAATAAAGGAAACTAAATTCTGGGATCATGTAGCTAAAAGCTGCATTGCATACCTTTGCATAACAATTAGGGTTTGATGAATGATTTGCAAATTTCAGCTTGTCTCCTTTGCGATATGCATCAAGAACATACTGTCAATAAGGGAAACCAATCCTGAGATCTTGTATATGAAATTACACTAGAATATGACTCTTTAAGATAAATGATCTACTCTGTTAACAAAAAATAGAAACTCTTTGGTACCTAGAGGCAATAATAGAAGCCGATAAAAAGATTACTAAACTAGAACTCACCAAAAAGACGAAATCACAAGTTTAGGCCTATAATGGATGCATTTTTGCAGCTCATTTAAGTATTCATAGTGAGAATCTTTTTTTTTTTTGTTAATTCCATTAAATGTTTGGCTCATGTTTCCAAGTTGCAACTATTGGTGTTGCATGGACTCAGTAGTTTCATCAATGAAGTTAGAGAGGGTAATTAGAACATTTTGCAAAAATGATAGTACAAGGAAATTGTATTTAGAATTTAAGAACTTAAAACCATGGATAATGAAAAAGAATTTTACACTCTACAAGTACAAAGAAAAAAAAAAGAATGAAGCCTAAAAATATAAATCTGTCAATAAAAAATCAATGCCATGTTTGGTTGCTTAGAAAATGAGTGGGGATGAGAATTTTGAACTTTTCTCAGAGACAGATGATTGATTGGTTTGAGAAAGTGATATGGCACAAAAACAAGATTTTCTTGTGTAAAAATTTCCTTACAAGTTCCAGGGCATTTTTCCCTTAAAAACCTTTCTGAAAAGTAAGAAAGCTGAGTATTTGCGAAATGGGTTGATTGGACTACTGATGGCAAGTTTTTTTATCATTTGCTTTACTTTAATTACAAACTAAACATCTATACGAAAATAAAACTTTTCCTTCATTTTCTTTTATCATCTTTTTTCTTCTAATTTCGTTTGACTTTCATATGTTTTCTTTGCAATCAAATGAAGACTAAGGTAAGAAAGAAGCCTGTTGATCTCAAACCTGGCACTAGGGAAAAAATCAAAAGCTTCCTACTCCAAGATATAGAATGAAAAACTGAAAACTTGAGAAGCTTAACATCTACTTTGAAGATACAGAAGCAGGTGAACATCACTTACCTGATCATTCAAGTCAAAAAGGAATGATGAATTTGCACGGTCATAAATCTTCCCACGCTTATCTGCTTCCTGGTGGGAGATCAATTCACCAGTGTATTCTCCAAGATAATCATTTTTGTTAACAGGATTCTGAAATCATGATAACCATAATTTGTGTGAATAACTAGCAAACAAAAATACAAAACAGAGAGTTGCTCTGTCTTATCACCTTTATGAATGCTCCCCATCCAGCAACATCAGATCTCCCCAAGAGTATCTGGAAATTGGGTAGCAGAAGTTACACATGTTAAACCTTTATTTTATTAATTTAGTAAACAGAAAAATCTAGAGCTTCTCACTCTCTGCTGTTGCTTTAGAAGGAGACTCATATTCCCACATTGATAACCATCAACTCGTTGTGGTGGCTGACCTAATGAACCATCTCCACAGCTGCACAAAGTATTAAGTTATTGTATTAAAAAAAAAAAAACATCGTTAGAAGGAATTCCCTACAATGAGATTTAAAAGAATAAAATCTCATTTCAATGGGTAATCATATGACTTGTATATCATATGGACTCAAAGTCTAAACATGAAACTCCTAATCTTCTACCAATATACATCTTCCCTTATTTTCTTGCATTCTTTCTCTCTTTGGTAGGATAGGGGTAAGTGGATGTTGTTGGTTTTTGAGCTGCAGTCATGTCAAAATCTTCTGATTTCACCAAATTAACAATTACTACCTAAAGGAAAACTGATGGAATGATCATGAACCAATGCTTAAAGTCTAATCAAAAGTAAAGTTGAAGTATCTGGCTTTCTTAGTTGGTAAATTTGGAAATGTAGATAAGATAGGCCAAGCTCCAGAATTCTGACATTGCCAGAAGCCACTTGCCAACCTCCCTAGGAAAAATCTATTATGCCAATAGATTTTGACAAGCCAACTTATTGAATTCACAGTACATTATAGAAGGAAAAATATCATTGATATTTTATCAAATAAACTTTATATACAAGTGCTCTAGAAAGATTATGATGTCAAGTTGAGAGTTCCATCTATGAGGATGCTGAAAAGGATAGATTGAAAACATAGCTTTACATGGGATATGTTTGATGAACAGTGACCTAGTCATGTAGCCAACCTAGTTATGACATGGCTTAATTGAGTTGATTTGCATCTCACCGTCATATCCCAAATGAAATGCTGGAACTCATTTGCCAAATTGAGGTATGGTCGTATGGATGTCAAAATCAGAGGCTGCAGAATTGAGCAGTGTAGCCAAGCTTGATATTTGGCTAAACAGATTTTTTTGTTGGTATCTTATACAGTTCAGATTTGGAATTTTGGTTCTCGCAACCCTTAACTTTGCAAAAAAAGTGCCACTTTTGACCCTAAAGATTCAAAAGGGCTACTTTTGCCTCAAATTATGGTGAAAAGGCCCTTTTTAAGGCAAAAACAAACAATGTTAGAGATGTCATTGATCGTTCCGCTAAACAAATAATAAAATAATAAGGCTTACTGATGTGGCACCGCTCAAGTAAAAAAAATGGAAAATTATAGGTGGGTTCCACTCAAAACTCCCACCCATTTAAATGTGACCAAGAATAAAAAATTAATTGTTTTTATTTAATATTAATAAATTATTAATAAAACAAAAATACTCTTCTTCTTTCTCTCCTTCCACCCAATCTCTTGTTCTCTACAACTAAACCACAAGACCACCGCCATTGAACACCTACACTGTTGAATTGGGGCTCATGAACCCAAATGCAGCTAGTTTCAAGAGAAATGGAGAATTCATATTCAAAGAACTCGCACTGTTTCAACTCACCATGCATTCTTCTTCTCACCCATCTGAAATCTTGAATTAGGGATTCAACATCGTTATTGAATCTATATTTTTCTTTATATAGGCATTGGTGGAATTCATGGCATAGATCAGAGGAAACAGAGTGGGCTTTGATCCTAACAAGTTGGTCCTCATTGTCAATGCAACTTCTTATAACGAGATGCTTATCTTTTGTCTTGTTGAATCCAGGAAAGCTTTCCTTCTTCCTACTCCATACAACCTAGTGTAAACTTTTTTTTCTTGTTTATTTGATGTTCTTCTTAGTTAGTTGATCATATAATATATTTGCTAATTAAAATGCAATGTATTAGCTCATTGTTCTTTTTTTGGATTCTTCTCATGTTCGACCAAGATCTTAAATGGCAAACCTAGGTTGAGATCATTCCGATACAATGTAACAACTCTAAAGGCTTCAGAATTACTCAATTTGCTCTAGACAAAGCTTATCAACAAGCCCAGAAACGTAATTTGAAGGTAATGGGGTCTTTATCATCAACCCTTCTTATCCTTTGGGTGTGACCATCAACAACGATGAGCTCAACCGCCTTATTAAATTTGTCACTGACAAAGAAATCCACTTAGTAAGCAATGGAGTTTATTCAGGAATAGTTTTCAACTTGTCGAGATTTGAAAGCACTGCAAAGGTTCTAATGGACAAAAGCCTTGAGGATACCTAAGCTTGGGACCGGGTCCATATCATCTATAGCCTGTCCAAGGATTTGTGTCTTCTTGGATTCTGAGTGGGTGCGATTTACTCTAATGACATCGCTTTAGTCTTAGCCCCAATACTCTCTCTACTCTGTCCTTCGCCGTGGGGCGACTATTGTGGAAAGAGCATGGTCATCCCAATACTCTCTCTCTCTCTCTCTCTCTCTCTCTCTCTCTCCTTCCACTCAATCCCATGCTCTCTGCAACTAAACCACAAGACCACCACCATTGAACCTATTATTGTCAAATTCCCAGTCTTTTGATTAGGCATTACATCATCCACAATGGCAACATTCTATAAAATGGCTGAAAATTAATATTAATTTCTTAACACCTGTTGCAACGCCAGTAACAAGTATTGAACAGGATGGTTGAGAAGTCAACAGCATTGTTTAGACTGGAGACTAGCATGTTGTGTCATTTTTAAAGATTCCTTTGGTTCTCTATAATAAAGTTTCTAGCGAACTTGATGTCGGAGAGGATGGCAGAACGAAAATACTAGGTTTGAGAAGAGATAAGTCCAAAACTTGACATTTTGATTGCGACTGAGACAAAAGTGACGTCATTAGAGTAAACATGCTCACTCAAAATCTAGGAAGATGCAGATCCTTGGATAGGCTATAGATGATGTGGACCTAGTCCCAAAGTTCAGTATCCTCAAGGTTTTTGCCCATTAGAACCTCTGCAGCGCTTACAAATCTCGGCGAGTCAAAGACTATTCCAGAATAAATTCCACCGCTTACTACGTGGATTTCTTTGTCAATGACAAAGTTAATAAGGTGGTTGAGCTCATCGATTGATGGTTGTGCCCAAAGGATTGGAAGGATTGGTGATGAGAACCCCTTTAACCTTCAAATTACGTTTCTGGGCTTGTTGATAAGCTTTGTCTAGAGCAAATTGAATAATTTGGAAGCCACTAAAGCTGTTACATAGTATTGGAACGATCTCAACCCCGCTTCACCATTTGAGATCTTGGTTGAACCTAAGAAGGATCCAAAAAATGAACAGTGAGCTACATATTGCATTTTAATTAGCAGATATATTATATGATTAACTAACTAAGAAGAACATCAAATAAACAAGAAGAAAAGTTTACCCTAGGTAGTATGGAGTAGGAAGAAGGAAAGCTCCCCTAGGTTCGAAATGACAAAAGATAAGCATCTTGTTAGCAAAAGTTGCACTGACAATGAGGACCAGATTGTTAGGATCAAAGTTTACTCTGTTTTCTCTGATCTTCACCATAAATTCCACTAATGCCTACATAAAGAAAAATGAAGATTCAATAGCGATGTTGCATCCCTAATTCAAGATTTCAAATGAGTGAGAGAAAGAATGCATGGTGAGTTAAAAATTTACTTTCTTAAAAGTTGGAAGGCCATGATAATCTTGAAATAGCGCAAGTTCTTTGAATACAGACTCTCCATTTCTCTTGAAACTAGCTGCATCTGAGTTGTTCACAAGCAATGATTCAACAACAATGGTCTTGTGGTTTAGTTGCAAAGAATAGGGGATTGGGTGGAAGGAGTGGAGAGAGAGAGAGAGAGGTGGGGATTTTAAGTGGGACTCACCTGTTATTTTTTCCCTTGAAATTACTTAAGTTGAAGGAGCCAGGTTATTTTTATTTTATTAATATTTCATTATTTTATTTATAAATTATTAATAATTCATAATTAAATAAAATAATTATTTTGTTTTTATTCTTGGTTACATGTAAATAGGTGGAAATTTTAAGTGGGACCCACTTGTAACTTTCCAATTTTTTGAATTAAGTAGTGTCACATCAACAAGCCTTATTATTTTATTATTTGTCTAACAGAATGACCAACAACATCTCTAACATCATTTGTATTTGCCTTAAAATGGCCTTTTCACCATAATTTGAGGGCAAAAATGGCCCCTTTGAAGCTTTAGGGTTAAAAGTGGCTTTTTTTTTTGCAAAGTTCAAGGGTTGTGAGAACCAAAAACCTTTATTTCAAGCTATATGCATAATCTTTTCTAGTTAAGTTTCCAAAAGAATGGGCACATGGATCACTGAACTATTGATCCCTAAAAGACATTGAAACAAGCATAATCCCCTGGTGAGCAACATAACCTGTCATATAGCCATGGTTTATTTATGACCATACTACAAAAGCATTTCCTTTTGTTGTCTAGGTAAGAGATAAGAAAAATAAAGAAAAAAATATAGCTAATCTACATGGTTGAAAATCCTTGGTTTTAAAGAGTCTAGAAATGCTTCAAGGATGGATACAAGAAGTTACATATCCATGAGAAATCTATGCATCAGTTGAAATTAAGTCTGAGAAACTTTAGTATTCGAGTTTGGCAATGATTTTCTATAGATTCAACCAAACGATTATGTGCAGTGAGTGAAACAATCAAATCCAGTCTCTCTGTTGTCTTGATATTTTACCATGGAATGCTGATAACATGACATCTTCAACAATTTGCTGGACAGTAACAAAATACTGTATACAGTGATTTATTGCAAAGAATTATCATTTACTTGATGAATTAGGATAAATTAACAAAACAAATGAAGCTGAAACCAACTCACGGATCAAAGGATTTAGAGATGCAAAGCTCATTACCTGACCCAACAATTCCTGCAAACATCTGGATCACATTCACGGCCAGCTGCAAAGCATGGGCACTGTCGGCTTCTGCACTGACTTTTGGCACAGTGGCACCCTCGAAACCGGTTTTTACAGCTCTTTGAGCACCTTTAAATTAGAAGAAACTCTTTGGATGAGTCAAATGCAATGACCTAACATTGTAGTACAACATGTGAAATTAACAGGTAGAAATAATATGTGGTTAGGTCTTGCATTTCACTCGATGTAATGTTTAATCAGTGGAATATTCAAAAACAAAGATGAGCATAAATTACATGAACTAGTGTAATTTCTCTAGGAAACTACCTCTGACCGAAATTAACATGAAACATCCTAAAAATCAAATTTGCATTTCCATAAACAAAATTCATCATTGTCATTCAAGCCTTATCCCAACTATATGGGGTCAGCTACATGAATCCTGTTTCGCCAGTCCATTCTGTTTAAAGCCATATCAATTGGTAAACTATTGGCGCTTAAATCATTTCTTACTACTTCTATCCATGTCCTTTTTGGTCTACCCCTTGCCCTTCTATCCCCTTCAACTTGTAACAAATCATTTCTTCTTACAAGTGTTGTTGATGGTCTTATGACCAAACCATCTTAGTCTACTTTCTCTCATTTTATCACCTATTAGAGCTACTCTTAAGTTCCTAGAAATGACTTCATTTCTGATCCTATCCTTTCTAGTTTTTCCGCTCATCCATCTTAGTATGCACATTTCTACCACACTCATTTTCTAGACATATTGTTTCTTGACTGACCAACACTCTTGATCCATACAACATAGTCGGCCTTACAACTGTTTTATAGAGTTTCCATTTTAATCTAGTGGTATATGCCTTTTACATAATACTCCACATGCACACCACCATTTTTCCCATCCTGCTCTAATTCTCTGGGCAGCAACATCCTCCTCAATCTCTACTTTGTTATGAATTATCAAACCAAGGTAACGATAAAGGTCACATTGAGTTATCTCTTGGTCTCTAATCCTAAGTATAACATGATTTGCACTCCCACTGTTATTAAATTTACATGCCATATATTCTGTTTTAGCCCTACTTACTTTAAAACCCCTTGTTTCTAAGGCATTTGCCCATAAGGCACAGTTTGGAAAGAGTACAAATGCAAATATGTAGAGTGCAAATACATACAAAATACAAGATTTTGCACTCTACATATTTGCATTTGTACTCCTTCCAAACTGAGCCTAAGCTTAATTTTGTATTTAATCCTTCATTAGTTTCATCAATTAACGTGATGTCATTACCAAACAACATGCACCATGGGACCTCCTCCTGAATATGTTTAGTCAATTCATACATGACCAGTGCTTCCATAAACAAAATTGTTAAAAGAAAATCTTGACATACCCACAGTATTTCTCGCAACAAGTTCCTTCTTGAAGACAAGGACACTGCTTTCCACACATAAACTGGCATCCACAAGGTGTATACTGTTTACATAATTGATGCTTTCCATCTGCAATTCTTTTGCGACTTGATGAATGGCCAGCAGACTTCCATGTGTATTTCAGTTTCCGTGCTCTTCCTCTTCTACGAAACAAACGTGATCTTGTTGGCATCTCTTGCTCCTAGTAAAAGTTCATACCAAATTAAGAACAAACCAGGAAAAAAATATGACAAAATCACAAGAAATAGCACGGATAAAGTAAACATATTAAAGGCCCTCTAATCCTGGAAAAGTGAATAATGGTTATTTATCAACCCTACCGGTCTATTTAACAAGTCTTCAGGAAAAAAACTACCTACTAAATTTAGAAAAGAGCTTCAGCAAAACAACTTCATTATTCTAACACAAGCCAAATGTCACAACAAATAGCAGCCACAAAGTTAACATTTTAAAGACCCTCCCAACCCTGCTGATAATAGTTATTTATCAACCCTACTAGTCTATTTAACAAATCTTCAGTAAATTCTCTTTAACCATTTAACTAGACAACTAATTTAAATAAACAAATAACGTGCAGAGAACAGGCAAAATTGAGATGGGAAAATCATTTTTTTTACCAGCACAAGATGATAGAATCATATTGATTCATGTGCATTGCCTGAAGCCAGATTAAGTGTGATATCTTAACATTTCAATAGTGAGAGGAACAATCTCTTTACAAATTTAGGTGCTTATATAGAAAAAAGAAATACAAATAAAAGGAGGGAAATTAGGATTTATATACCTATCACTGAGAATATGAACAGGGTTTACTGTGGAGTTAGCAGACTGTTCAATGAAGGGTATTCCATGGTAACTTCTATCCTATGATTAACTAACAGTAAAATTCAAATTTCCACTACTAATGTTGACTATTTTCAGTTTTTTTTTTTTTACTCCACAAGGTTTGAAGGTTTAAAGACTTGATTATGGCTATGAAGCAACTAGCCTAAACAACTAGGAAAAGTCAAAGATGATACAACTTGATTGAGTCCATTAAAACCTATGTTCTCCTTTTGAATAAGAAGGATGAAATAAAAAAAAAATGAAGACTGAAATTAGTCTCATAATCTTTATTATTCACTTGCACATAACCCTTGAAGGATAACTAGTCATTTAATTGCCTTTTCCAGTTCCTGAAAATAGATATTAAAGGTATACCATTATTATGGTATTTCACTATAAAAAGCAGACAACATACAATGAAGATATTACATGCATGGAACATAGAGAGCCAATCTTTAAGAATATATCATTACTATGATATTAAATTGTTCTGATCTGACAGAGCAAGTAACATATAATCCATATGCAATGACAATGCTATGCATAGAGAACACTGAAACTAATTAAATGAATACTTTAACCTATCTAACTTTGCCAGATCATCAGTTATTTACTTTGTTTATGAGTATCGTCAATTATTTACTTGTAACCTAACAATGAAACATGGCTTTCCTAAATGAAAAAAAAAAAAAAAAAGCAAAAGAAGAAGAAAAGAGATTGTTCCAGCACATACCATATTCTCGTTATCATCTTTATCATTGCTTTCCAAGCATGGACTTGGCAGATCTGCAGATTGGTGTGCCATTGCAGCTCCTTCCTTAAGCATGTAGGTGAATACCTCTATGCAGGTCTTCAAACCAGAGAGTAAATTCCTAGCTATGAGGCAACTGCAAAGCATGATTTGTAGATTAGGCATAAAAGAGATAGATGGGGCTTACACACAAAATTATATGATCAGAAGTCTTGGAGTAGCACAGACAGCCAGTATCATTCTCGAATAAGGAAAAACAATTATCCAGTAAGTCAATACATTTCATTTGCAAGAGACATGTGTTAGAATTTTCAGAACTAGTCTCGAAAATGCATAACTATAATCAACTATATCTAGTACGGTAATGCATAATTATGTTTTTATTCTGTTACTTCCATTGGAGATTGAGTTAGCAGTTTACTACTATGTAGAGATTTTAAAACAGTCGGATATCCAAGTTTCAACTTCTCATGTAAGAGATGCAGTACATTGTATCAGGCCTCCTACATTAGGTAAAATAGTAACAATATATTGAAGTTGTTGTTCCCTTGCCATATGCCTAAAGTAGCTACTGTTTTCGTATTTTGGAATTGCTATATCTTCTTTCTCTTGGTTTTCTAAGGAAACCTAGGGAACTTTACCATGAATTCAGGTCTTGGTTCAAACTCCATAGATGAAAATTTCTAAAACAATACCTTGCAGGGATTTGAATTGTAGTTTCCTAGTATCATTTTAACATAGAAATATACCTGTATAGCCACTTCAGTCCTGTTCTTCAATATATATGTGCATGCCTGTGAGTAGGTGGGATGTCAATCTGGGCATTGCTATCAATTCAGATGCACATAAAAGTTCTCGTTGTACCCATATTTCTTCAAAGCAAAGGTTATGAAAATTTGGTCATCGGGTATCATGTAGTGCACATACTGAAAACTGACACATCTAAACTCTAATTGAAATTGAAATTTTTCATAAATGTTATTTTTTATGATTAATTTTCATGAATTTTCCTTTTTACCTTTTCTTCTTGGTAACTCCACCAATGTGAGCTTATCTTACACTGCCAGTCCCAAGCCCAGATAAAGGAGGAGGGTTGTGTTAGGTTGGCAGATGGCAATAAAATGTTTGCCAAACTCTTATGGTCATGGATGGTGATGATGATAATGATCTTTTCTTCTTGGTCCTTTTGTGGACCTCCATAAAAATTCCCCTCTCATCTTCCTTTAAGTATAGAGTATCTATATCCAACGGGGAGGAGACCACCTAGCATCAAGGAATGCAACAAAAAAAGAAACAAAAAAACAAATACCATTTTCCAACTGACAAGAGACTAGTAAACAGTAGATAGTTTCACAAAAACAATTTCAAGATAGCGGAATAACAAAAGGAAAAACCAATGATTTCTTACCAATCAAAATAACTTAACCTGCCCTAATTTTATGGGCAGCGGCTCTTCAATGTTCAATCTCTCCTTCACCATGAATTATAAAATCAAGGTATCTCTCAGTTGCAAGTTTTAATTGTATCACCATTTCTATTCCTGATATTGCTAAGTTTGCACTACATATATTCCATTTCATCCTATCCATAAAACCTTTTGGTTCAAAAGCACCTGTCCACATGTATAATTTTGGATTTAATCCCACTTATACCAATGTTGTCCATTAGAAAATATGCACCATGGGACCTCCTCATATAAATTTCATTTAAGATTATTCTTGACTAGCATGTCCACTTGGAATATTTGCACCTCATTCACCAATCAATTTTTCTTTTTTACTTTAATGATTCTTCACAAACTCAAGGTTATCACCTTTCCTTGGATCCACAAGTAACAGTTGCTTTTCCCAAAGATCAAAGTACATAATACAATAACTCTAGAGAGCATACCATGTAATTATTTAGTTCTATATTATCAACAAATATGAACATGAAGGATGGAGGGGAAAAAAGAAAAGTGGAATGGATTAGATAAACTTAGAATTCTATACCTGTTTTTCCCAAATATCTCTATTCCCTTCAGGTACAATTCTTTCTCAATAGGTTTCCACTCAGAACCATTTAAAGTTCCGTCTTCATGTATTGCTCTGGAACTGGGAAATTGCTTTGTCAAAGGCCCTTCTACAGCATTATTTGTTTCATGTTCTATGTTCTCCTTATTCTCATCATATGCAACACTGCTAGGTAAAGTAATATTTTTCCAAGTATGCTCAAAAGATTCATTTAAACCACAGTCAGTGCTTGTTTGGGTTTGATTTTCATCAGGAGCTCCAGTAAGTGGATGCACAATATTGGCACTCAAACTGAAATCTGAATTTGGTACATCTGTTGTATTTGAAGATGATATTTTCTTCTGCTTCTTGACAGAAGAACTCTGGAAGTTGCTGGAATCTTGTGTTGACTCTTCTGGTGCTGTATTTCCATGCCTTGAGCGTTTCCCTAAATTTTCATGTGAAGATACTCCTAGAATAGATGTATCATTATCTAAAGCACCAAAAGAAACTTCTGGAGTATTATCATCTTGTGAAGAAACATTAGCAATCCCTTTCCCATCTTTGCATCTTTCATCAGTTCTGATGTCAGTGATATTATCATCAGGGCTAGAACTGGTATTAATCCTTTCTGATAAGTCTCTGGGTCCTTTTACCTGCAAGACAACTAAATTGAGTTAAACATGAGAAGTTACCAATAAAGGAAATATTAAATCAGTAACCAAAAAATTTAAATTTTATATTTCCATCTTGCTTTTCCCTCCACCAGTGTGAGCTTGTCTTGAACCGCTGATCCTAAGCTCGGATAAAGGAGGGTTGTGTCAGGTTGGCAGATGACATAAAACTTTTGCCAAATTTCTATGGTTATGGATCCTGAATTGTCTTTTCTGGTGAAATAGGATTCATGTAGCCAACCCCATATAGTTGGGTTAAGGCTTAGATGGCGATGATGATGATTTCCATTTTCCTTTTCCCACCTTTTCTGGATGAAAGATCCATGAGAATTTACAAGCATTTTTATAAAATGTGGTTCATGTAGATGTAGGACAAGCCCATGATTTCAGGCAGAATATATGATATAGAGGAAGTAAAGTGATAAACTAACCCAAGAATCAGCTCTATGGTTGTCTGAGTGTGGATTGATACCTAAAGGTCTATTATGAGTTAGTACGTAGTAGGGATTCTTTAATTCTTTAAGGAGTATTTCATTCCAGTCACCTTATAAATGTTTCTTTATTTATCAATGCATTCTGCTATTGTGATTTGTGATAGAATATTGGTCTCCAAAGGAGAACAAAATATCACCTAAGATCCTCTAAAATATTTACTAAGATGTTCAAATTGGATATCATATAACAAGAAATGTTTGTGGGGCCAACAATAGAGTTTTGTTTTTCTTTGTCAATTACTGGACCTTCATCATTCTCACCTGGCTTGAAAAAATTCATTCATGAATTTTCTTATGGAGGATAGATCTTTCTAGACAAAATCATTGGTTAGGAAATGAAATTACTTTGTCTATCCAATGAAGGGTACTAATACTCCTTGTGTTTTTTGAACTTGTTGAGCCTTCCAGGTCATCATGAAATGCCAACAATAAATAATCAGTAGATCAAGAGATGAAACCCATTTTTGGATTTTCTAGATTCTTGACATCTTCTGTAGCAATAAAATTCTGACATACAGAGGCATTATCATTGATATTGTAGATGATATTGAGAGTCTCTCCTTCAAAACTCAAGATTGACAACCTTTAGATTGAATATGTATTTGTTCACATGGTTCTGTGAGTGTTTAACTATACTTGCACCCATTAAGAGTGATCATTTCCAGCCCAGCCCAGAAATGTCTAGATCTTGGGCCTGGGCCCACAATATATATTATATATTTTAAAATATATAATATAATATATTTATAATATGAATATATATATATATGTATGTGTGCATGTTTTATTTTATTCTTTTGTGAATATATATATATATATATTTGCAAGTTGACACATGTCCACCAGTTAACTCGTAGAAGAGTGCATAGCTTATTCTCTTTGTTTAATTATTCTTATATAGGTGAATGCAAAATCTTCATTCTCATAACTAGTCAATGTGGGACCTTGAAAGTAGGGGTGATCATGGGTCAGGCCCAGGGCCCCGGGCTGGGTTTAGCACCAATTATAAAGGCTTCAACCTAGGCCCGGACCTGAACCTACACAAGACCGAGCTGGCCTTATGGGTTTCCCGGGTCTAATGAAAGATGATTTAAGGAATCATGGGCCAGGCCAGGAAGAACTTTGGACCCGTGGAATATAATGATAAAAATTTAATTATTTATAAAATTTTAAATTAAATAATATATAATACTTAAGAAATATTGCACAAGTCCAAGCTAGGCTAGACTTCGCTAGGCTTTGGACCTACTGCACAAAAAATAAGGCATGGGCCTTGCTTAATTCCTAGACTTAATTTGGCTTGGCTTACCTATTCTTTTATAGATGAAGGCCTTCATTCCCATACATTGCTCAAGAATGGGAAAAAGCCTTGTCTAGGGGGACAAATCTCAGACTTTTGACTCATGTGTTGACACATGAGTATATATATAATTTGTTATATATAATACATAATATAACACATTATAATGTAAAAACATTATGTATATTATATATTATATTATATTGTGGGCTGGGTCGGCCAGGTTTCCAGGTCAGGCCAAGAATGACCACCCCTGCTTGAAAGAACAAAGCAAGTTGAAATAGTTGGGAATGCAAGATAACATTCAAGGTCCCACATCGACTAATATGAAAAATGAAGGCTTTTCATTTGTCTATATAAGAAAAACAACCACAAGTGTTGGGTGGCCATATTTTTTGATGTCATAGGCCCAAAGCCCAGCTCAGCCTAGGTCTGTACAAACCTAGGCCCACCCCATGGTCAAGCCTAATGCCCAGAATATGAAATTTTACATTTAATTAGATATATATGTTTGGGAAAATTACTTAAACTATCCCTTAGGTTTTTGACAATTACTTAAAGTAGCCCTTTGGTTTCAAAAATTACTAAGTACCCCTATATAATGATGTATAATGAAAAATACTACCCCTCCATTAGGTGTCCATCACATTCCGTTTGCACCTGACTAGACAAGATATCTCTTATGGAGTTATGTGTCATTATTCAATTTATGCATCAACTACATACATCTCATCTAGAAGTCACTGAAAGATTCTTATCCTATCAAAAAGGGTCTCTAGAGTAACTTGTGGAACTTGGGTGTTGGATGCTTCTGAATTCTGATAAACCAACTACGATGGTCATTGCACGTAACATTCATGCACTCCCAAGCAAAGGTTCAAAGTATCGATACACATCAGCCCGTATCAGCCAATACGTATCGTGCCGGTGGCTTCCCGATACGCCCCTACAGGGGTTGTATCAGGTCAGACCATGGTTCAGAGGGTAGCCAGGACTTAAACCGACCCCACTGAACCGGTTTTGAAAAAAATAAATAAAACTTAAAAAAAAGCACCGATACTTTGAACCATGCTCCCAACTAATAATCTTTGTTAAAGACAGACCTAGGAAATATTTGAAGCTAATGTTTGCAGTTTTCTATTTTTGAAGAAGAAAACATTTGGGTCTACCATATGAAATAAAAGGGCAATATAATAAGAAAATTGAGGTCAACCGCAGAAACATTTTGGTCAGCATTTACAATTATACACAACCATCATGAAGTTTGCCATCTCAGTTTTCAAAAACAAAGAAATACCTGAAGATAGCACTGATCACCACAAGGTTTTCCATTTTCTTCATGTTCACCCCAATATGACCGCTTTTCACCCTGAAAGGAGACCTCCTATTAGGACAAATGAAAACAACTACCTACAGATTCCATGTAGGGAAAAGAATCTGCTTACTGGGATGACTAGATTTTGAGAACAACCATGCAGACGACAATCAAATACCTGTGGGATGAAAACCAGAACAGACAATAACTAACAGTGACAGTTAATGCCACAAATTAGACTGCAGAAATAAATCACTCTCTAACAAGTGGACCAACAATTTTCTGTGGCCAAGTACCAGACAGCGGCGGCAGAAAAGGTTATCAAAAGAATCTAAAGCAGCACTAAGGCTCTTCTCCAAAAGTAGACTCCTTTCAAATCCTCCTTGCACAGAATCTTGCATATTTTTGCTTGCTTTCTCATGATATTGCTCCATAAGTATGTTGTATCTTTCCTGCAAATCTCAGATGGTAGTATATATCTATTAGTATAAACAATTGTCGTAAAAAATGAATCAAGTAAATAGATAAATTATGATCTTTAAGTTGAAGTATTGAAGAAACCTCATCCATACTCATGAGGTTGAGGAAAGGAAGTCCCAAGTTTGCCAAATATTATTACCTGGACCTCAGTTGTTGTAGCCTCAATAAATTGGCTCAGAAGATTCAACACTTCCTGGTCTACCCCATGCTCCTGTAAGACGTTCCTGCAAAAGCCATGACAGGAAACAGAAAATGCTTATGACAATAAAAAGGATTCATATTACACAAGCATCTGCTAACAAAAGCTGAAGAATGGAAATGGGCATAAAGAAAAAGGATTAATAACAAGATATGAATTTGGGAGTGACAGAAGCAACAGTTCAATCAATAATAGAATAAACTTAAGCTCCATTTATAACAACAGAACAACATTGTCTTAGAACACACTCAAGTAAACTTCCATATGAGCTCATACTACCTTGTGGACCCAGTAGGTCAGAAGACGGAAGAAAGTTGATTGAGATGGTCTTATCATGTGAATAAAGAGCAATGGCTACACCACTGAGGAGTAATTTGGTGCAATAGGAAGGCCAGAAAATGCCTTAGATTGATGTAGTAAGTCACAAAGATTCTGAAACTTATTTGTTACTGGGATATGCCCTAGATATGTTGGATGGGCAAAGCAGGATTTATGTGGACAAACCCCAAATGCATGAGTCAAAGACTTAGTTGAGTTGAGTTAAACTCAATTTTCTCAAAACATTTCCTGAGCTTAGACATTTCAATGTTTTCTAAAATTTATATCACAATCTAGCTTATTTCTAATGTGGAGCATCATATGAACAGGAAAATGAAAATCCCTTGCCGCTGGTTTAAAAGCCAAATTAGATCAAATCATTAAGTGTTCAAATTACCAATAACTCTAATTTTCAGGCTAACCATTATATTATCACTTTCCAATATAAAAGTTTTTGTCAAGCAAATCACAGCTACCGGTTATACCACTAATCCCTGATCCAGAAGGTTACAATCCAATGGTAGTATTTAGCCTATAAAGACAAGACAACAATAGCTTCTTCCACTCTATAGTCTGTGTCTAAACATCCTTGAACATTTTCTTTTTAATTGTTAAATTAATTACAGCAATGACACCATGCTCAATATTTAGAATAGTTAACTACATTAATGACATAATGCTGCTATCATGGATCTAACGTGCCAATTGGATAGCTAACAATGGACAAATCACTTCAGAAGTCTGCGATCTGACTATGTTTCCAAAACATTGCTTACTATAATGCAAGTCTTTATATTTCAAGCACCTTACTGCCCCAAAGGTTCTGTTCTTCCCCTTAGAGAATATGTGACGCTTCAGATTATGATGACGTGCAACAACAGGACATGTTCATTTAATTTAGACAACGTATCAACTATTACAGGTATAAAGTTATGTTCCTTTAGCATTACAAGGAGCATGTATATGACACTACATGCCATTTAGGTCTGCCAACAGTCTGGGCCAACCCAGCTAACCTGAACCAACCCAATCCTATTACACAGGGCCAGGGTCTGCATGTTGAATTCCAATTATAATAAGGTGAGGATTGGTTTTACCTGTTCCGACCTGATTAAGATCGAAGCTTGATTTTGTTAAATACATATTATAATATATATTAGGATAGCATGTCAAAGATACCCCCAACATTTTATACATATTTTTCATGCCTTACCTGTGAGAACATCATAAAAGATGCCTAAATTCATCATTTTTAGGGCTTACATAAGATTTTATGAGAAGAAAGAACAAGATAATTAGCAGGTTTGCTGCCAAATTACTAAGCTAAAGGCCTGTAAACTATAATTGGGTCTTATTGGGTCAGACCTGATAAGCTCGATTAGGTTCTGAATCTAGTTCTTACAGAACCTATAGGATCTGCATCAGGACAGGATCTGTGTGCTTTCGGGTCAGGATGAGGTCTACCTTGACCCAACCCATTGACAGCTCTAATCATCTAAAGGAAAGAAATATAATAGAATAAAGAACATAAAATCATGCATTCTCAAGCAAAAGGTGAAAGGAAACAAAGATCATCAGCCCTGTCAGCAACAGAAAGGTATTTCTTCTAACAGAAAGTTCGATCTTTAATACTCAAGGATTTTGAGCTTATGCAAAGCAGTTATAGGTTAACTATTAAAGCAGAGTTCACAACTTGAGCCTTGAAATTGTTAGAATTAGTTGACAGGGGAATTATTGCCTTTTCCTTGTTATTTTTTCTCTCTTAGGTCTGCTGTAACTAATATAAGGGCATTGTTGTCATTTCAGCTTTAGTAAAATGTTAATACAAGCTGGGTCGACAGTAAGGAGGGGTGTGTGAGATTTCTCCTTGCTTGCCTTCCCTCTTTTTTTCTCCTTTTTCTTCTCTTTCCCTTCTCTTTCTCTTCCTATCTTCTCTTTCTTCTTTCTATCTTTCTCTTCAACTTTTCTTTTCTTTATTGAAGTTGGAACAGAAGTTAAACAACTTTTCTTTATTGAAGTTAAACAACTATCACCAGGAAAAGAAGGATAATTCCTAGTAGAAAAAGAACAAAACAAGTTCTGTTCCATTTTCATGCACATATGACCAGGTTTCTTGTTGATAATACAATGAACCAAGGATGAAACTGTAGCAAAGTAACATAAGCCACTTAGATCTTACCACAAAATCTGATCTTCACCTTCAGAGAACTCATGTTTCTCTTCCTCTGGTTCAGCAATATCTTCCTCACTATCACTACAGATCAGGGCTTCACTGCCACATGGATCATAGTAAATTTGTCTTCTCCCTAAGACTGATTGATCTTCAGCCATTCTCTGATTTCTGTGCTGTGTGAAGCAAATTTGAGAAAACAAGAAGAAGAAATAAAAAATTTATGGAAAATTAAGAGAAAAGGCAACCTGTCCAAGTAGGTAATCTATTTAGTGCAGAGTATAAATATAACAGTCCAAATAAAAATTGTTATAAAGTGTAGGAGATATGCACAATAGAACTTATAGTCAATGGGTAAAGGAAAAAAAATGCAAAATTCACAATAGATGTGTTATCTGCTAGTGTTTAAAATTTTAAAATTTCAATTACATTGCTCCCCTTTATAAGCTACTTGTTACTTATAAGGATCAATAGATTGCTCATGTCACTCTTATAATATTCATGATACAGCTATTCCTAGATTCTGTCCAATGCCACTAATTAAAATGCAGGAAACACTAGACCAAGAGTGAATGAGCAATCTTGTAATACTCATGATAAGCTATTACAGAACTGTGTCATACTTGTCCAAAAATATCCAAGTAGTATAAGGTGGAATCTTCTCGATTAAAGGAAGCCTGATAGCTGTTGAGGACAAAATTTCTTCATCATTAATGCAGTCCCTTTCTCCTGATCCCTGAGCAGACCCACTAAACTTACAAAGAGCATTCTCAGCTCTAAAAGAAAGCATGTCTTTTGACCCATTGTGCTCCATGAAATAGAAATCCTTCTTCAATGCTGCTGACTGAAGTTGGGAGGTGTGACATTGTAAAGTCTTTCTATTTCTTTCAAGCTTTTCCTACAAAATAAAACAAAAATCAACAAGAATCAATTACTGCTCACATGGAACAGACAGTGCAGCATCAGCTTATATGGTTCCTCTCCCTCCATTCACATTCAAAGTACACACAAAGACTGGCTTCAACACCAAAACAACCAAATTTTGAACCTCTTGGCTAAAGGTTTACATGATTGAGCAATGATAATGCTCAACCTATAAGAAGAACAAATATCGATACCATCTCTAGAAGGGGAACCAATATACATTAAGGTTGATAATACATATAGGAAAACAAGTACATACAACTTTCCATTGTTTTGCCAAAAGATATATATAGAATCCAATAATTGACTTACTCTAATTGAAGCAACTCTGGCGTTTTGAATCTCCTTTTTCAGTTGAGATATTCTGGATAATAACATCCCAAAAGTCTCATTTGTGTGTTCTTCAGATTTCTGTGAAGACATAAGAGATACCATATGATATGAATCCATGCTTAGTTTCCAATTATTTGATCTAGAAATCTAGGCAACTGAGCAAGACTTCGTGATTACAAATGGGTGAAAAGAAAAAACAAGGAATTGCTCTCTCTATAGTAATTCCAGTTAATATCATGCTGCAAGATTAATTTGGAAGGATAGCATGTCCTTTCAATGGCTTGACTACTAAATGCAAAAGTAATAAATTAAACTCCTGCATAATCCATGCCTCTGCTCATTTGATACAAATGTTGACTAGAAGTACAAAACAGTCTGGAGATAACCGATATCTGGCCATTTCACCATTAATTCGTGTAAAAACTATAAACCCTTCGCCCGTTTAAGCTATATATGATCAAGATTTGGAAATAAGTCAGGGCTTATAGGTACTAATATGAGTAGATGTCACATGAATTCCAACGAAATTCTGAATTATTTATTCATTTGATTCTCAAACAACTTCTTAAATAGAGACTTAAAGTCTAAAGGAGTAAAAACCTTCTTATTGAGATTATAGTTAAAACAAATTAATTGTCGATCAACTTGGGGGATTAAAGTATATCGAAAGGAATTGCCCCGCGTAAAATTATAATATAATTCGGATATCATATATAATTGAACAGAAATCATGAACCATCTCTTTACACTTATTTTCCCGATAGCATATGGTGTATCTATATTCTATAATCTAAGAAATCATGCGCACTCAGTTGAAGCAACGGAAAATAATTTCCTTTTTCTTTGTTCAAAATTTAATCGCCCAGTAAAACCGTGACAAGTTTGATTACATGAAACGCTAGTTCTTAACAAATTATTGATCCGGAAAGCCCGTAAGCCAAGAATTTCGATATTCTATTGCAATATTTTCTTCTAAGACACCGAAACAACTAACACTCGTCTTGAAACCATCGACTGAATTCTTACATTGATAACAAATCTCAGCAAAAAAATCAAGGAAACAAGAATCACAATCGCCAGCGTTGCATATTAATAGTATTTGGATTATAGATTCAATCAAACTTCTTTAAGAACTCGATGAATCGAAGGCAAAAAAAAACAGAGACAGAAATGCGCGGAAATAGGAAGAAAGTTTCCGGGAACAAAAGTAAAAATAAAAATAAAAAGAATCAACTGACTTTGATTCTTGATGCAGATTCGGTTGCTTTAGATGCCATGACGAATGCTCCCCTCTGTAGTCCGAACTTCGATCGACAGAGGGAGAGAGAGGAATGGAGAGAGGTGGGCGGAAGGGGAGGGGGAGGGGGAGGGAGGAGAACAGAGAGGTCAGAACTCGTAAAGCGTATAGGAGGAATATAGGGGTGTACTAAAGACAGTCGAGTGGATGCTTCATACTCGTGGCGCACTTTCAGAGGACCAAACTGTCGTGGTCCCACGATACGATCAGGTGACGGTGATGACTGATGACGAATTGACGATGGTTGGGTTTGGGTCATGAGAAACGATGGGTCACCCGACACCCGCGGGTGAAGAATTCGGATTTCGGATTTCATCCTCACTGCGACGTGGTTTTACCGTTTTAGGCTTGGATAATCGGATTAAAACCGTAAATCACAACCTTTGATGTATTGCAGTGGCCCCACCCTGACGTCACTGATTTAGGGTGGGGCCACTGATCTACATCGGAGCCTATGATCACTCACCGTTATGAGAGACAAATGCTCACAAACGCAAACCTACCCCGATTCATACGAGTACGAATTTGTTACCAATAAAACGCTCCCAACACTATTCTAATAAGCCACTACAGCCGTACATTGAGAACTTTCTTGGGAGATGTTCCCGATGTATGATACTTAATGGTTTGTTGGGCTTCATGTGATTACAAAATGGGAGTTCGGATCTCAGTTTTATGTATGCCGAGGTGTACTTCCAATTAAAATATCTTGCATTACACTAGGCCAAGGTTTAAAATTTTATCAGTTCGTATCGTCTGATACATTGCGGTTGAAGATCCGATACACGGAATATATCGAATCTGTATGTTTCGTGTATTATCGTTAGTATCGGTCCGAGACGAGCCTGATTTCGGGTATGTATGGGCAACTTGACTACTAAAAATCGCAAATAGAGGGCAAATGGATTTGAACCCTAGTCATTTATTTGTAAGGGCAAGAAGTCCACCACTATGGCACACTACAAGTGTTTGTCATATAAATTTGTATTTTAATTCTTAATTAAATTCGTTTGTTAGTGGATGATTATCAACAAAAGTTAAAATTCATCATTAAAAAATATAATAAATATCAATGATTAGAGGACCGGGCTAGACATCAACACAAAAAAGGGAGAGGTTCATAGGTTAGAGGTTTAACCGAGGTCAAATTGTGATGACGTAATATATTATATATTATATATATTAATATATAATATATAATATATATTATTATACATATATATAATATTAATATATAAAAATGTATATTATATATATTGGATTATAATATTATATATATAATATATTGAGGTGACCTTGGTTTCCGGAACAATATATGATTATAATATATATATATATATATATATATATATATATATATATATATATATATTATACAATATTATAAATCATATATTGGATTCTAATATATTCAAATTATATAATTGTATTCTTTTATAATAAATATTTTATTTTAATTTCAATTTTTTATAAGACACCTGTAAACAAAAGGTCACTGCAATAGGACATCTAAGCAAAAAATTATGGCCTTTAGAATTTTGCATTAATGTACTAAAACAATTTAAAAAATCAGTTGTTTTTCTAAAACTATGACTGCTTCACTAGTTTTTGAGTTTGACTAGTCAGGTCAACACTTTTGGGAAATTTTTAACCTAATCTAGTCATGGTCCAACCGGTCCAATATGCCAATCAGTCCTATTTTCTAAAAAAGGTAAATATTAATACAAATTATATTAATTTTTTAAATACTATGGTATGTATCTATATAGAAACATTTTAATTCTTTTATCATTTTTCAACGGTTTCCAATTATGTTTCAATATTTCACACTTTGTATAAATCACTGAAATATGGATTTTTATGTTTTAATAGTTTATTTATAGTGATATAAAACTCATATTTATTGTAATTAACATAAGTTTTTAAGATTTATATGAGTTTCTTAGTGTATTTATGTGTATCTTAATTTTTCGTCTGTATCCATGCGTATCTTAAACGAATCTCAATACGTTTCTTAAAATTATCTCTACAATACACATTACGTTTCCAATACTTTAAACCTTGCACTAGGCATGATACTCCTACTCACATGTGCGAGCTCTACTAAATGACTATTGTTTTCCTGTGATATTTTCTAAACTTTAAAAAATAAAGTGAAAATTAGTTCGAGAGAAAAACAGAGGAGCAACATAGGAAATAAAAGGTTGCAGATGAAATCCTGGACGCCATTATGATTGGAGATTAAACATAGGGGAAAGCCATTGTTCCATGGTACCATCGTGGGCACTAATTAGTTTTTAGCGACTCGGACTTCGTTTTTTACAATGTTTTCAAAATCGGATTGGATCGCTTCACCCTAAAACCGGGAACTGGTCAACGAACTATTAATCCAGACAGTCGAACCATCAAACCATCGACCTGGACAATGATTTTTTGCCATTTTTTATTTTTTTAAATTTTTAATTTTTTTATCAGAGCAAGCCATCCATTCTGTCCAAACGGTCGAACCATTTGACTTGAGAATCAAACCCATAATGGTTCCTTATCTGGTCTAAAAAAGTCTTGATTTGTTTTAGTAATGGGTTCGACTATGATATGAAAAATATATGATGTCTGAAAAACTTATGACCAGTCAACTGGAATCATAAACGTAGTAGCCAATCAAGTGTTATTTATCAAAATTCATGGATGGATTTTGACTGAACAACTAAAAAAAATTACTTTCTTTCAAATTTTTTGGACCCTTGGTGCATCACACGACATTTGCACAAACTTGGTGGTAGTGACTAGTGAGTTGATTTTACTACCAGTTCTTGACGGGTCCAGGTCATTGGACCTAATGGAGTTAGATAAAGCCTGTTGAAAAGTTGGATGAAACTATGAAAGGGAAGATCCAGATCATTGCTGAACTAGAGGAAGGTAGTATTCAAATACAGATTATCTTCCAGCAACAGAAAATACACAAGCAGATGATCAACCGGTTGATTGAGAGGTATAATGTTAGAATGCAATAATTTCTGTGAAGGATTATGATGGGATTGACTTAGAATCCATTGTAATGGAGTTCATATTTTGAACTGATGTGCTAAGAGATTTTTTTTAACTGTTTTTTTTAATTTATTTATTTCTAAGCTCTCTGTTTTGGTAAGTGACCCTTAGGGGGCCTTGTTTTGGGGATTTATTTTTATTTATTTTTTTTTTGGGGGGGGTTTCAAATTTATGTAGGGGCCACGAAAAGCTTATTTTCCTCAGTGTCATTTACCCAAATGTGATACTTATCTCCCTGGTTGGTAATTTAGGGCCTGTTTGGTGCGTCTTTTTATGCGGTCTTTCGGCTGTTTACAAGTTGGAAGACCGAAAATTGGTCTGTTCTCGTTTGGCACGTGGAAGATCTAGCCACTAAAAGACGGGGCACCGAAAAGACGTGAGAAGCCCATTTTGAGCTGATTTTGGGAAGCTCCAAATGAAGTTTCTCGCATCTTTCGTGTTTTAATCTCGCGCGGAAAGACCCGAAACGACGCGTGCCCGCCAAATGGTCTTCGAGCTACCCAGGTCTTATGTCAAAAGCTCAATGTGTCTTTTGACTGTCAGAGCTACGAGAAGGTCTTCTCAAAAAGACTTGCCAAACGGGCCCTTAGTTTTCCCATCTTAAGGAAAGCTGTCAACACTTTGATGGGACAAAAATACCCCTTTTGATAATAGAATTTTTATGGATAAAATAGTCATTATTCTATTTACCCAAAAAATAAAAGAACATAGATAAATGCACTTACCCAGATAATTAACTTATCTTGGAAAGAATACAAATATAAACAATGCAAAAACTTATATTTTGTATTATTTTACATATTTTGCACTCTACATATCTATATCTGTATTTCTTCCAAACTGAGCTTTATTACTTGTAATGGAGGTAGGGAATTCATACCAGAATCTGCAGGTTTGGATACAAGGAGATTGCTTGATGGTGATTTCGCATATGAAAGGAAGCGCAGATGGAACAGCTTATAGATGGAGACAATTACTTCTTGATGCCATAGATTTTCTTCAGTCCCATGGTGTTATGGGATTTTCCCTTTTGACTAGGAATTTAAATGTTTTGGCTAATATTGTTGCTACAGGGTGCCTTGGAACAAATTGGTATGGAGATTGGGTTGGATGATGTCAATCATGCATCAAATACATTTTAATTAATTAAATTTATTTTTTGATGGTGGTTAAATTGGTAAATTTTTTCACTCATTATTGCAGGGACTTGGAATCAAATTTCGTGTTGTCACTGGAATTTGCGGGTTTATAGGTATGAACCGGATACTCCTATTGTATCCATAAATAAGAGGAATAGAAAAAAAAAAAAAAACTTTCATTAAATCTAGCCCATTTAAATAATCTCAATTATACAAGTATTACATGAAAATCTCTAAATATGAGAAAATCTATGATTCATTTAAGATATGATAAAAGCTTTGACCAATTAAAACTCCCCCATGAATTTTAATAAATACCACCTCCTGATTGCATACCACATTTATGAAACCGGGTCGATCAGTCACAAGTTTTTCGGATATCATGTCTTTAGTCGAACCAAAAAGAAATAGAGGCCAAGCAGTATAACATGTTAAAGTTAAACCTACGATTTTGGATTTTGGACCATCAGAAAAGGCCTCCTCAAATCAGTCAATGAATCTCAGCCATCCAAGTAGTGTATCAAAATTTCACCCGGCCCATCCAAAGATGTATCAAACCAATCCAAAGATTGAAGCCATCAAAAGGGGTTTCTTAATATGTTAGTGAATCAGTCTTGATCATTCAAGTAATATACAAGATTTTAACAAATCAAGGCCATCCAAATAATGTACCAACTCAATGCAAGAATCCAATCCGTTAAAGCATTCTTTTAGGGTAGTGGATTAACATCATCCATCTAAGTGATGTACCGATATTTTAGCCATAATCTAAAAAAAAAAAACTAAGTTGATATATCATTTGGATGTTTTATATTTATTATACTTTATGTTGTTTTTTTACATCAATTACTTAACCTTATTAATAAAATGTATTGAATGTCTAACATCAGCTTTGATATTATTTGTACTTTGTACATACTTGGATTGTCATTTGGAAAGGGTGTAAATGCAATAATATCATGGTTTTCAAAACCGGACCGGACCAGACAGTTGGACTCAGGTGATTGGTTCCTGCTTTTTCCCTAAAATCGGGATTTTCTCAAAAAAATGTTGATTTTGATCAATAAATCATTGACCTGAATGGTTAACCGTTCGAACCATTTAAACGGTTTTGACCGTTTTTTCACCTTATTTTTATTTTTTAATTTTTGTCAGAATAGGCTGACCGTTTGAACCCGATAACCGGACCCTGACCGATTCAATTTTAAAAACCATGAATAATACACGCTACAAATCATGACACCTCTGGTTTAGGTGCATGCAAAATGGGAAGAATGAAGAAGAGAACTGGGAGAGTGGGAGTGAGAGAGAGAGAGAGAGAGAGAG